TTGACTGCTCAAGTTTCTTAGCCGCCTCTTTCTTCAGCTTCTCTTTTTCCAAGTATTCCTCCAGTTCCTTCCCTTCAAGTTTCACACGTTTCCGCAACTACAGGAAAGGAGCAGGCGGGAGACGGCATCACGATTAGCAGGTCAAGGCGGTGGGGGACGGGCGGGAACCATGGCACAGGTGTTTCCATTACATGCAACTTTGATCCTATTTAGGCTAGTCTGAAATCCCACTGTCTGAACTCACTGCCATCAAGGGCATACCGACTCACAGCGGCCCTCTCAGACAGGGCAGAAGTGCCCTTGTGGATCTCTGAGACCAATTCTTTAGAAAGTCTCTTTTTCTCTCTCAGAGGGGCTGGTGGCTTCAAACTGCTGGCCTTGAGGTTAGCAGGCCAACGTGTAACCCACTACGCCACCAAGGAGGCAAATGGAACACTTGTCAGTCAGAAAAACATAATATGGTCAGTGTATTTTATAATTCAGAGTACGTGAAGCCTACTTTACGCTGCAAAGGAGAAAAATGAGTAAGCATGGCAGGCAATGCTGGGGGGAAATCGGTTTGCTATTTTAGATCTCGGAAAATCAAAAGAAACAGAGGACAAACATCACAACATAACGACTATCAGATACCATTAAGCATTCTTCCAAATCAGTTAAGTAAAATATGGCCAACGCATTAAAAAGGAAAAAAATATAGCAGTTTATAAAACTAAACTAGACAAATAGCTCTGAGTCGAGAAAAGATGTTGAATCACACTAATGGCTCTTGTAAAATGGCAATGTTTACAAATGTAAGATGAACTTTCATCTCTGAGACTGGCTAATTATTATTATATGGGAATGGGGCCCTTCATTCACTGTCTATGGGGAATTAAGTCAACTGCGTTAAAAGGCAACTTGCCAAGTTCAGAAAGAAGCGCTGTGCATTCCTCACCGGGAGGGGCACATCCTCCAGGAGCACATCCTCCGAAGGCGGCATGGGTGGCGGGGTGGAGGCTGGTGTTCACTGCAGTCATAGCTGCAATGGTGGAAAGTGGGACTCCACTTTAGACCCCAACCACATCTCAAACTCTTTCATCTCTGGACGGCTTTTGACTTTTAAAAAACTACTGGGCACTTCAAAGAGCTTTTGTACTTATCACTACTTATCATATCAGAAATTAAAACAGAGATTTAGAAATATTTATTTTAAAAGAACAAAGTAGTCAATATTACCATATTTGTATGAAACATAGTTCCATTTAAAACCACCACCACAACGAAACAGAGAAAGCACGGCACTGCTTTCTATCTGTGCACGCCTCTTAGAAGGGAGGAGAGCTGGATTCTCACCGCGGCTTCTGCATTCCACCTCTCAAATTGCTACTTGGATTAGAGTCTGAAGAAAACCCAGTCTCACATAGACTGTGTACTTGGGGAAGAGAAACATTGAATTTTATAGCCTTCACAGGTTAATTGTGAAAATTCTTTTGTGATACTAGATCACCACTCAAAAACAGTCATTGTTTAAGGGTTAGTTGTAATGTGGAATCTGAAACTATAACCAATAAATTTTCTGTACTCTGCTACATTCAAATGCATTGGCCTATCATACAGTTTTGAACAGATCTTTTGTCCACACATTGTTTTGAAATATCATGCACTAATTATTTGGGAATTGTTTTATCAAGTTAAGTGCTCTTTTAAACAATGTCAATAGAAAAAGAGTCATGGCACAAATATCACCATTGATTTATTGGAAAATCAAACTCACACTGATGGATATAAGTTTTCTAAAATTCTTTTACTTGACAGCTTGGCTTTATCATTAGCAAGAAACAATTGGTTCCTTGGGTTGACAACCACCATTTATTCATTTCTGAGGAAAGGTATGCCGAAGAGCCAAGGAAGAATATGAACAACCAGTTTACCTGTCAGTCATTACTTCAAGTAAATTGGTGTTCTCAGGAGTGGTGACTTTAGCCTGTAACTCAATCACACATGTGGACCCTTCAAGATTACCAGCATGCTTCTGGGTGCAACAGAAAAGCCTAACACAGACTTCCCTTGGGTCATCCGAACTGAGGACATCATAAAATCACTAACTCTTACTGCTGTAAACAGAAACAGACTTTGCTTTAATGCAATGACTATTATTACCAGTGTAGTTTCGTGCCACTGCCCTGACTCACTCCAAGGCACCAGCACTTTCCCACCCTGGCTTTTGATTATCAGGAGACTTTAAAACACTCATGAAAAATACTACGATATTTTAATTCCACTTCTGATGAACTTTTTGAAGTCCCTTATAAATGTCAGCCAAGTAGAAGAGGCAAAAGTGTCACTATTAAGAAAAAGCATTTAGACCTCATGGATCTCAAAGACCCGAGTGCCCCCACGCCACACTTTAAATACCACAGACTAAACAAGTCCCAGTACACATTTATAGTGTCCTCTGAGAATTCAAAAATACTCACGTTTGTCATATATGAAGTATTATGCAAATTGGGATTCCTGATGGTACTCATCTGTATCTATCTACACCATTCCTAATTCAAATAAAAACAGTGCCAGAAAATGCAGGTAACTGCCCATCTTTCCAAAAAACCATTATCAAAATTGTATCCGGATAGGTAACTCCCCAGAACATATGCTTCAACTGTCAACACTCTTGACAACGGAATGTGATGTGCAATTCCGGACGAATCCTGGGACAAAGGGGAGGGTAACTATACAGGGTGCAACCAGCCAACGCTTGAGTGGGGTCTGTGGAGTAATGGTGCAACGGCACTGACTACAATGGTGCTTTTGTTGGGGAGTGTGTTTAGGTAATATACACTGCAGCGCATGCGTGGTAAAAAATAGTATCTACAACATACTCTCAGATAGTTCCGGAAATAACTCTCTAATACTGTGTCTATAAAGAATAAAGCAAATTTTACAGTGAAATGTCAACAATTTAGAACTTTTCTGTTCTATATGATATTGTTTCTAAGTAAAAAGTACCAAAAAATTAACGCACATCGAATAATTCTCAAGTATAGGACAAATGGTTAACTTCCATGTCTAGATCTGGCACTCCACCTTTACTTAGCTTACGTTTCATTTAGAAAATAGTGTCATTACTTGTCTTTATTACATAGTTAATCCCAAGTACAGTTAACCCCAAGGGTTCCCAGGGTGGAAGTCTTTACAGAAACAAACTCCACATCTTTCTCCCAGGGAGCAACTGGGGTTATCCAATTGATAACCCTCGGCTCACAGCCCAGTGTTTTGAGCACTGTGCCCACAGGGCTCTTAGTACATAATTCAAACTCAGAAAGACATTCATTTTTCCCACAAAAAGACAGACTGTACCAGAACACTTACCGCCTTCTCTTCTGAAAATCAAAACATTTACACCCATGATTAATTTATGCCTGCTGAAAGAAATTTTGTTCTCTTATATTTAAGAGCTCTTAAATTCATGGCTATAAACAGAACTAGGTTTCTACAATAATGTGCCCTAACCATATTCTCCTTCCTACCTCCTTTACTACATAACTTCTGCTCCCGCCTGCATCTGTGAAGTTTCCTTCTCTAAAGCTACCTCAGCCCCATTAGTCCTTATTCTTTCCCCATCAGGAGGGCAATAAAGGTAGATGAAAAAAAATACCACAGTTCAGTCTTGTCTAACATGATCAGAAGTCTGCTTCATTACATATGCATTCAGTCACCCCTGAATTCAACCAAAACTGTTACGGAGGACCTCCTGTGCGTCCAAACACTGTTCTGAGTGTTACAGGCATCACCACCACCACCACCCGGCCCCTAGGTCTTTTTTTTCCCCTCAAGGAACTTGAATTCTAGTTGGCAGGGTAGAAACAGAGGAAAAAGGCAGGTGGTGGGCGTGCTTGACAAGTGAAGTAAGGCAACTACCCTAACTGGGTTGTTCTGCCAAGTGCAAGCCCGAGGTCTCCCTCAAGGACCAGCCCTTTTAAGCTGGGATCTGAACGGCAAGTGCTGGTGGGGAAAGCAGACTCCCAAGGGAATGGAGTGTGTGGCGATCTTGATGCAGGCTACACGGCAGTGGGGGCGGTAAGAGGTCAGAAGGTAGGCAGGGTCTTTCTTGATCTTGCAAGCCTGGGCAAGAAGTTTGGATTTTATCCCAAAAGTCAAAGAAGGTCATTGGAGAGTAGTTTCAACAAGGGAATGACATGGTTTGAGGAATGCTTAAAACGATCTCTTTGCCAGCTGCCAGAGAAAAGGCTTAAAGGGGCCCACACGGAAAAACAGAAAGCAGCTGGGAAACAACTGTTTAAGAGCTGGCCAGTTTATCTGGCACGGAGAGGAGTCAGAGTCTAACTGTTAGACAGACATTTGCTGTTGCTGTTGGTCACTGCAGAGGCTGCCCGGTCCCAGGCCACCTTCGTGGTCACTGGCGGACTTGCGTCCATTGCTGTCAGCTCATCTCCGTGGTGGTTTCCCTCATTTCCCTGGTGCTACCAAATACGCATGAGAAGTCCGCCTCCTGGCTAGCCTTCGAGAAGGAAAAACCAGGTCTGGAAGGGGAAATCTGGAGTCCTCCAAACCAAAACCAGCCTCACTGCCCTCGAGTCAACTCTGACGCACAGCAACCCTACACGACAGAGAGGAGCTGCTGTGGGCTTCTGACACTCGGCCTCGCTCCCCCTCGGAGCGGCTGGCTGAGGGCTTCTTAAAACTGAAAAATAGTTAAGCTTAACTAACAAAACCTGCCTGCCTTGAAGCATGAAATTCTCTTCAGAACTATGCATGAGGTCAACAAAATGCTCAGTAGAAGCAAGGATGGCAAGAGCTTCTCTCGACTTTGAACATGCTGTCAGGAAGATGAGCCCCTGGGGAAGGACGTCGTGTTAGGTAGAGGGGCAGTGGAAACAAACAAGACCTCAGCAAGGCAGACGGACCTGCTGGCTACACCAAGGGGTCCAGACACAACAGCAACTGTGAGGACGGCGCAGAGCCCTCTGGGATGGCACCTAACAACAACGTAGGGCCTCAAAGTGACAGCAGAAATGCCAAGAGCAGACAGGACCCTCCGGAGCCGTGGGTTTGTTCACGGAGGAGCAACAGCGCAGAAGAGAAGGGTGAGAGGAGTTGCACCACCAGAAGGTCATCGGCGTTAGGGAATGGCATATGTTAACATGGCTGATGGCGCGATGTCCTCAACAACACCATACAATTGGATACAGAGTGCAGTCCCACTGTCGCGCGCGCGCGCGCGCACACAGAAATGGGGGAGTCAGGGACTGAGAAGGTCAGGCACCACACTGGTGGATGCTAGAGCCATCCGGAATGGAACCCTGGGTACCAGTGGACTGGAAGGCTGTGAGCCACGCTCTAAAGTCATCAGTGAATGACAGAGAATGACCAAGAGATCAGCTAATGTGACACAAACAAGAGGAGTGGCCAGGATGTTATACACCCTGCTGACAGGAAACACGCAGGACCAAGGAAAATGTCTTGAAAGAGACAAGGCACACTGACAAGGATCCCATTTAAAGCTCAGGGAGTGTAAGACAAAAAATGAGAGAAACTTTCAGCAAGACTGAGAAAATAGTGTCGTCCGTATGCCCTCTGAGGGTCCTTCCAGACGACACCATGGAAGGGTTCAAAGAAGAGAATTTCCAATTGAGGAGCTCCAAAACTTGCTCTCCCCGGTTAAAGTGATCAAAACCCTGGACCACCTTTCAGTTTTATTTCTGGCCACTGATTTCGATATACCACCCACAATCTTATCTACAAACAATCTTCAGATGAAGTCCCCCAAACAAGTGCTTACCTCTATCTCTGTAATTTTTTCAGAAGGGTTATCAATCAAGAAACGGGCTAAAGTCCCAGGAGTAGTTCTGTATGTTAGAATGATTGAGTTTTTAGGGTCTTGACACCACTGAATAAAGAGGTCCCTTGAAAATCCACATTCCAGGTCAGGTTGGCTGGCCAGGACAACTTTGGGGCTCGGTACTCGAGCCAGGTCAGTGAGGCCATGGCATAAGGAGAGGTGGCGAAACTGGAATGGGTTATTTCTTTTGTCTTCAAAACATCTCATCAACTTGTCACTCATCCATTCTACCTAACATTGGGGAAAGAGGACACGAATTAGAACACTGCATTGTCAAGGCATTCTACAACCTGGTTCAAGTTCTGCCTTGCTTGAATCCTTTTGCTGAGGAAACATTTACCGATGTGCTGCTGGGTGGGCAGCTTGCTTTCTGCACACAACACAAGACCCTCCCACCTCTGCTGTATCCCTAAGATGACCACCCCACCCCAGAGACTGCTAGTTCAAGGAAGAGTGCTGATTCTAACATTTACATGAATCCTAACATCAGACCTATGCGGTAGGTTCTGTTTTTGTCTCCATTTTATGATGGGGATGCTAAGACTTAGAAAAGGAACTTTCTAGAAGTAACTTCAGGAGTATATAAAAAGCTAAATGAACAACTGACAAGTGCATAGAGCAGGAAGTGGCTGATAGCTCAGCAGTTACTAGTATTACTAACAACCTCTTCAGCAGAAACATCAAACCCCGAGGATAAGTATGACACTCTATGCCAGAGGCTTCAGTCATTACTGCACCCTTCTTTAGAACCCAGGCTAGGAGGAAGACACACCTGGGACTTTGAAAACTCCACCACATTGTAACTGACATTGTTGAGGAGCGCCAGTGAGTAGACACCCAGTCCTGCATCTTTAGTTCTCCAAATTTGATCAAGCAGTTGAGCAAGTTCCAAAACTCGGCCCGCAGTGTCCACTGCTATTAATACATTTCCATCGCCTCGAAGGGTCTCCAGGACGTTGGCTAGAAAACAACAAGCACATGCCCTTTAGAGGAGCGCTTCTGGGTCGAAAGACCCTTTCCCAGGGGTCACCCAATTCATCACAATAGCAAAATGACAGTGATGAAGTAGCAACGAAAATAATTTTATGGTTGGGGAGGTCACCACAGCATGAGGAACTGGATTAGAGGGTCATGGCATGAGGAAGGTTGAGAACCACTACTACAGAACATAACGCTGACTTCATCCTCCTGTTTGACTAAAAAGACTATTATGTACAAATAAACAATTATGAGGTCTGGTATACAATTTTACAAATGTCATTCAAGTTATTATAGCTGCTCTTTATTAAGTATATCTTCACAGGAGTGACATATAAACTGAGTAACACTCATTCCCCCCCATTTAAAATACCTTGTCAGTGTGCAGGCAGTGACTTTATTCAATCTAGCCAAAGCCTCTAACTGCCAGCAAACCCTTTCTTGCACGATTCTGGTAAGGAGTGGGTAAAACAGGGATAAGCTTCATCTGTGAGTCATTGCAAACAGGATTCCCTGGAATGCCCTCCTACTGTGTATACAATGAGCCCTCTGAGAAGCAGGAGGAGGTATCTCATTACCAGCAAGAGTCAGGAGCGGAGCATGTCCTCTGGACCCAGGATTCCCGTACAGTGAAACTCCTGGAGCCAGATGGCAGCTACACCATCAGAGGTGCAGCAGCAGACCAAGGTGTCAGAGCACTGAACAGCGTGATGGACCTCCCAACTCACAGAGCAAGTCAAGATGAGTGCTTTTGTGCAGGAGGCTAGCTTGCCAAGGGGGGGTCCCTGCGGGCACTTCATTGGGGAAGCTGGATCTGCTGAAGCATGAAAGTGGAACTGAGTGCTTGGGGCCGAGGCTTCCTGGATTGGGGTGCCTCTGGGCACCTGGTTCAGGGAGCTGGGTTTGCTCACCTGCAGAGCCTGATCTGAATGCCTTCGGGCTGAGGCTTACAAGTGGTCTGCCCACTTGGGCATTTATTAGCAGACCTGGAACTTTGTAACAAGTCCTGGCAAACAACTACCCTGAACATTTCTCACTGGCAAGACAACTTGTTAACATCCTTAATAAACCCTTAATCATGAATTTTATCTGTGAGCTTCTGTGTAGGCATTGCAATGGATATTACAACTCAGAGAGAGAAAATAGAGTACACTTAAACAGTGTCTGCTTCACATCAGAGTATAAATAGCAAAAGATAGTCTGTACCGTAAGCTAGATAAATGAACAACTACGTCAAATGCCACCAGCCTGCTATTCCCAGGTGACTTTGGTCTTACCTGTCCACCCCATGATGTATATGTGGGTATATACAGCATACACATCTATACATACATATTTAATATACTATGTTTTAAAATGTATGTTTATAGAACAAAATATATATCAACTCCCAAGAAAAGTATCTTTATAGATTTTCTCACTCTAGATAAATTTTGCTCAGAAATTTTTGATGAAACCAAATTCTAGCAAAAAAGAAATATATATCACAAGAATTGAAGAGCTTGTTAAAGTACTTGTAGTATACAACCCAAACCAAATCCACAGCCGTCCAGTTAATGCCGACTCGCAGCAGCCCGATTGGACAGAGTAGAGCTGTCCAAGGGTTTCTAAGGCTGTGAATCCTAACAGAAGCAAACCACCATGTTTCTCCTTTGCAGTGGCTGGTGGGTTCAAACTGCTGATCTCTTGGTTTATCACCAAGTACCTAACCACTGTGCCACCTGGGCACAGTGTTACATAACCCACTGCCATCTAGTACATGCCAACTCATAACACGTTCCTTGAGGCTGTAAGTCTTTATGGGAACAGATAGCCTCATCTTTCTCCTGCAGAGCAACTCGTGGGTTTGAGATGCTGACCTTGCAGTTAGCAGTCCAAATGCTGACCCCCCAGCATCACTAGGGCTCCGCTGTGTAGCAGGGTATATAGTCTCAGATATTTAGAGAAAAGACGAAGGTTATGGTTTCACACGTCTAAAAACAGGATCCAGTTTTCCCGGTTGAAAGAAACATGACAGCAGCCTGTGTTGGAACAGAAGTCAGTAGCAGACGCTCCGAGGCACCTCTTCAGAAAGAGACAAGACTACTGGGCAAGCCCAGAAAACTCCACCAACAAACTTACTGCAGTGTTTGCCCTCTCACCCAGCTCTATTCCCGTTTCTTTTAGACTTTAAATGGCTTTCAGAGAGATCTGTCTAAGGTCTTTATCTATCTCACAACTGAGTGCCAGGGAGAGCTGCCTATTTGCTGGATGACAAGGAGAAGCCAGTCTCTAGAACCATTCCACAAAAGTGAAACTTAAATGAACTAAAAACATGTCCTTATGTAAGCTGGCAAAACATACTTGCTCAAGCAAAGTGTGAAACAGAAGAGCATACCGACAATTCCGGGTGCCATGCCCTCTCACTGCTCTCTAAGGAGTACACTCTATCATACGTACTCAGAAGTTGCTCGTCTCTCTGTTTTCGCCTGGGCTGCACGTAAGTAGCATTAAATGAATCTGTGATAAGTAGAGAGGGTCTGCTTAGCATTTCCAAGGAACATCCATTTAAGTGGCTATAGAAAAAAGTAAAGAAAAAAGACTTTTATAACACTCCAAATAAACAATACTAGCTTTGCTTATCTATAATAAGCAACTTCTTTAAGAGGCTTCATCTTCCTCTAACTAGCAAGCACATATGCTCACCAATTAAGAAATCTGGACAATTTAAAGTGTTCAGAGGTAAAGGAAAATCTTCTAAAATTACCACCACTCAGCGATAGTCAACATACTTGGGTCAACTCCCTTCTATGCATATAAATCGCTTTCTGTCTATACAGCTGTATTTTACAAAAGTTGCTATTCCATGTGATAGTCCTACATATTCACTTTCATATCCCATGATATTAAAAGATTTTTCCTAAATCTAAATTTTAACAATTAAAAAAAACACTTTCCACTGTGTCTGCACTATATATTTACTTCCTTTGAGTAAGGATTAATAAATCCTTACGTTACTTCCACCCCTATGCCCCAGCTACTTGCAAATAGTCTCTCAAAACACATTTATGTAAAAACATTCCATTGCATTTGCATTTCTAATTCTTTGAGGTACAGTCACAGAAATGTATATTTTGGAATATACTGTATTTTTTAAAAGACATTCACTATTTGATGTTTTAAATTACCTAAAGTCTTGGTTTATAAAGTAGCTTTGCTTCTAATTTTGTCTCCAAAGGATAACATATCACCAGTTGCATTTCTTTGAGTTTTGGTTTTCATATACCTACATCTCCCTCTTTTTTTTTTTTTTGAAGTAGAGAAAGATTTTATTGAGGCAGGAAAAGAACTCCCGGGAGGGAAGGGAGAGCAGAGAACAGGGGCATCTTGAGCCCCAATGAGTTAGGTCAGGGAAATCACATCTGGCAGTGAGACATATACAGGGCTTGAGCCAAGGATGTATGCACTGATAAGGGGAAGGAAGGTCTTCTGGCGCTGCAGCTTCAGGTTCTGAGTCAGGATGTGGTCTGTGAGTAAATCGTCCTGGAACACTGAGGGAAGGGGAGGTACAGACCCAGCCCTGAGAGATAAGCTCCTTGGAACACTGGAGGCAGGGACTACAGAGTCCAGCTCTAGCCTTGAGAGGCGGGGAGAAGGGGCTGCACCGTCCAGCAGGCTATCTTTCAGAAGAGCTGGGGGAAGCGGTTGCATGGTCCCGACCCGGCCCAAACATCCCAAACTCTTAATAGTGGTAATGGGCGTACTGTTCTGTCTTAACTACTTCCTGCTGAGACAGAGCGAAGGGGGAGATTAAGAATTGGAAAGTTTGGGGCCCAGGCCGGTTGGCAGCACACTATAAGGACGAAGCAAGAATTGGTTGAAGGTCAGGTTGGAGATGGCTTTCATTCAGTCCTGCAAAAATTTAAACTCAGAGGGAGCCAACAGTAACAGTACACAAATTATTGCCAAAGGCCCAGTGAGGGGCAAATTCATGACATGACAGAACTCTGGAACCGTGAGGAGGGGCTGGTGGTGTCCCGCTGACATTTTCCGATTTCCTCGGTCATGTTGCAGAGCGCTTTAACATTGTATTTAACTACTTTGACTTATTGATAATAGTGTACGTACCTTTTTGTCAGCTGTTAACAGATTTAATGCACAATGGTTCTGAAGGGTTACCTGTGCCAGGGATGTAAGTTGTTGCTGCAAGGAGGTGAGAGACTTTGAGATGGAGTTGTTTGTTAAAGTTTTGTCTTTGGAGTATGCTGTGCACTAATGGGAAAGTGTGCCGACGTTAGCATGCAGATGCATGAACATAAGTGAGCAAGTTTGTTCCAATTAGTGTGAGTGGGCACATGTTCGTGTGTGTGCAGGCATGTGCACAGAGTGTAAATGAATGTTGTATGAATAGTGAATATAGGAGTGTGATAATGTGAGCATGAGAACGAGTTGTTGTAGTGAGTATAAAAGAACGAGCTGATGTATTAATAGTTACATTATGTTTGTAAACTTTAACCTACATCTCCCTCTTGTGGTTGAAGTCAACCGCATAAACAATTTCTTCTTCTCCATCTTTGACTATTTTCCATATGGTTCCACCAATCATATGGCCAGCTGGCAGAGGTGTGATAGATAAGCCATGTCCTTTGCCTGTGTCAACAAGATAATGGCAATAATCAGATTTCATTTCCAATCCTCAGTAAAGATTACTTTCTTGTAGCATTTGCAATGACACCAAAGTAAAAAGACATCGAGTACAAAGCAATTCTCCCTCACTTCTCCCCCAACCACCGCTTTCCTGCATGGAGGCAGACACTGTCCCTTTATTACATATTCTTACAGAGATACCCATGCTGAGACAGAGGATAAGGCACTGGACTTAAAAAGTAGTTGATTCCCAATTTACACAGTATAAATTAATCAAAGTTAGTGTTTATGTCACATCACAGTTACCAAGTGTTTCCACACATGGAAGCGGACAAAATAATTCATAGCCCATATGGTAAATCGCATACTCTGTAGTTGGTTGCGACAAATGGTACTTTCTGGCTAAAACTTCCTAAGTCTGTTGTCGAACCATTTTTCTAATACCAGCATCTCTATTTCTGAAAATCAGTTAATACGATCTCCTCTTCAGATAACAAAGGTCAATATTTACTATATGGCTCAATTACACAAACAACAGTGTGAACGCCCAATATTAGAACTCAATCAATGCTGTGTACCATCATGCCCTCCATGTCCTCTCATCACTAAAAAAGACCTGTTTGCGCTCCTCGGTCCCCCCTCCCACCCACTCGTGAACTCCCGGGGGAGGGAGGTGATCAGGTTCACCTTTGCATATTGTCGTTGTTAGGGGCCACGGAGTCCGTCAGACCCATTGCCACCCTATGCACACTAGAACAAAACACTGCACGGTCCTGCACCATCGTCACAATGGTTCCCATCACTTACTGTGCATGGTGCACGGTAAACATGGAACACATCTCTCTACTGAACGGTGAGAAAGCCTCAGGTGTTAACACTCTCGCTGAGTTCCCTCAGGAATATTTTAAAATCCAGATGCTTTAGGAGGAACTTCAGAGTTCTCCGTCAAAGAAGAAAATGGCTCATTTTCCTTCTTCAGACCATAAGGCTTATCATTTTACAGTAACTTCTTAATGTTTTGTTTGTTTTTTTTGTAATTAAATGTTATTTATCCAATTGTTTGCTCCTAGAGACATCGTTTACCTTTCAAGTTCACAATCTGAGAGAATTTCAGCTGCTGTATTTTATCAAAGGCAGCGTCAACGTCATCTAAGGTGTAGAGTGTGAAATCTTCTGTATTGTGTCGAGACTAAGAGAATAGCACAAAGGGAAATTAAAACGGTCCCTGTACAAGTGGTAAAATTGAGAAGCAAAACTGGCCGCGCTTACCTGATAGAGATCATACATGAACATCTGCCCCATTTTGTACACGGGGATGGTGGCGTAGATAGCACAGTTCAGACCTAGTTTCCCAACAGCGTACGGGAGCGCCCCGAGGTGGAGGGGGTCGGGGTGGGACAACAGGACAGCATCAATCTGGTGAACATGCCTAGAACAACACAATCACATGGGCCACTCTCGTGGAGCCGACTCCCAAGGGCAAAAGACGGAAGATTCCAAAGTCATGTGCCAAAATTCTGATCCCTCTTACTAGTCTGGATTAAAGAAAATGCTGGAGTCAAAGAATGACACCTAGAAACTTCAGTTATCACTCCTGCCCGGCACAGTTATAAATTGCATCTAAAATAAATGTCAAGAGGGAGGAGAGAAAAGCAGTAGCCATCACAAATAACTTCAGTCCAATAACTCAGCTTGGAATTTCAGCAGACACAAATAATCTGCCACATGATTTATATACCTTGTCTCAGTTTATAGGACGGTGACCAACAACATAACCAGGCCAGTAAAAAACTTTTAATTGTGGAAGCAAAGGTTCTCACTGACAAAAGATGTTGACCAGCAAATGGGTTTTGCTCCCAGTTCTACGTTGTTTGAAGGCTCAAGTATTCTTTCCTTCCACAGTTGGTGCATCTTGCTGCCTTTACGCGGAGGCCCTCTTCTCAACGTTTAGCACCAAATGATACGGAGGAGACTAAACATGATCTACAGCAGAACTTTCACAGGGGAGGGTTTTCCTCTCCTCCATTCTTTTAAACATTTTATTTGAAGAGAACATTTATTAAATCTTAAATCAGACAGGACAAGATAAAGACAGGGGCAGTCATTTGGATGAAGGAGCCCATTAACCCAAGGTCATAATGTGGTCCAAGGGTTTGCTGAGATACTGAGCTTTATAAAGTGCATAAGGGTTAAAGAAAACTGTCACAAAACATGACTGGTGAGAGAACAACACAACCTAGTTACCAATGGAACTCCTGAAGCAGGATTAGGAGCATGACTGGGACATGTATGTTTACATTAGGCAGAGGAACTTACACTATTGGTCCAGGGGCTTCCCAGAGGTAGTAAAGGCATGACTCATGACTATGTAGCCAGCAGTACAGTAATCTCTATCAAGGGCACACAGGTAAGCCACTAAGGAAGATTGCCCCTCCCGAGGCTGGTAGCAGAAGGGAGTAGGAGGGGTAGAAGTAATCAACTCTCCAATGCTGTCTGAGGGCAAGACTATTCACATCCTCGCTCAGGGAAATTCAAAAGAGGCTTAATCCATGGGGGTATTCTGCAAATGGATTTGGGGCTCTCACTGTCATCCAGAACTTTCTGCAAAACCAAGTACTCAAAATTTAAGCTTTGATGTAATTCCTTCTTCTAAACATGGATTTTATTATCAACAACCCTGGACTTCAGAGGCTGGTGTCCTCTGTGTGGACAGAGCGGACACTTCACTTAGACAGCTACTTGCTTTAAGTCAAGTCTTTAAGACCCTAGACATTATTCTTTCTGATAAGTGGGCGCTATATAATTTCTTTACCATATTTTGCTACAGCACCCCTATCTTCAGCGATCAATTCTTGTCTTCTCCACTCCTATGAACTTAATCTTACTGTTACCTAAAGTTAGGCTACAAACATTTCTGAGCCCTTCATTAGCTAAGAAGCAATTACAATGTTGTTGAATTTCATAAACACAGTCTATAAGTCAATAAGGTCACAAGTGTTAAGCAGTTACTACATTAGAACAAAAAGCAAATACTGTCATATCAAAAAGAAAGTTGATTTAAAAGCCTAGAAAAATGAAAAGTAACTTACTTCCTCAGGGAATCTATAATATCCAGAGAAAAGTGCTCATCCCAGCCACAGTCCAATAAAAACCTAAATTCATCAACTTGCAGAAGATAGCAAAGAGCAGACTCTTCTTGGACCCCAGAGAGGGTAGTTAATTTGATAATTGATGTCATTTTGGGGGGAAGGGGGAGTGGTGTCCCAAAACAATCCAAAAGGTTCTTTCAAAAGAAAAACACAAATGTCAGAGCACAGACTAAAATATAAAACTGGCAAATTAACTAAAAATATATCAAGTTGTTTCACACACAGAAATCCCACACCTGGAGAACAAACATTTTAAAGACTCCCTGCCATCAAGCTGATTCCAATTCACAGTGAGCCTATGTTGGGTTTCTGAGACTGTCCATCTCTACAGGAGCAGAGAAGCCCCTTCTTTTTCTTGGGGAGCAGCTAGCTTGTAGGTTTGATTGCCAACTTGTAGTCAGCATCCCTACTGCCCAGCCCTCAGGACCCCCAGGCCTTCTCAAGGAGCTTCAAGTTCAGAACTACTCTCTAAGACTGTGAGCAACTGAAAAATAAAGGTGACGTGTCCGAAGCTCCCAAAACAGAGCCTGGGACACAGTTAGTGGTCAATACATATTTAAGGGGCGGATGACTAGAATGCCGACTATAAATATTTCAAGAAGGTTAGGCATGTCTATTATTAACCAGATGCCACGAAAATATTCATTACCAAAGTGCAATGCCATAGCAACGTTTCAGATTTCAGTTCCTCAAGATAAACTGGCCTTTCTGATAACTTTAATATCTAAAAGGCACAGATAGGCAAGGAAGAGAGAAACCTACTGCCAGGCTTTTCTTCCGTGGTGCTGCTAGGTGGCTACTAACCGACAAGGGTTAGTAAGTCCTCAAGGGCAAACAGTTCGGGTCACCCAAACAGCCCGATTGCCCGAAAGTCCTCCTCCAGCTCAGGTACATTCTGCATCATTCTCTTTCCCTTAAGAATCTACCTGTTCCCTCTAATTGCTGGTTTATTTACTTGCTTTGTCTGTCCTCTTCTCTCATCCTGACCCCTACTAGAATGCAGACTCCACGAGGCTCGAGACCTCGTTTATTCTGATCCAAGCTATATGCCACTGTTTGCACAATGTGTGCCTCATGTATACTGGTGGTCAATAGAACTTTCTTAAATGACTGAGGAAAACATGATCAACATAAAATGAGCTCAGTGCTCTTACCATACCATTAACAGTACCTACTTATATGGGGTTTCTCTTGCTAGGAAGAGCTCAGCGGGCAGGAGTAGGCTTGATTCATTTCATACTGTTAGTTTATTAGCACATGCCTTGCATATAAGGAATGTTCAATATAATAGTTGCTGAAACAAAAGAGCTAAACTAATTGACTTATTTGTCAATTCCTATTTATAAGGTATGAGAAGTACAAGAATGCTACATATTTTCCACGTATAGCACATCCACCAAAATAGCACATGTGTATGCATGGGTGAGTGAGCATGTGCATACATACACACACATACCATGCAGAACTTGCATTACTAAATAACACGAGAGGGCTAGACAGTTTGCAAAATACCCTGTCAGGGGCATTATCTGCACAAAAACACAGTAATTTTCTATTCGATAAAGTATTTACCTATACAAATTGAAAGGAATCTAGGAAATTCTCCTTATCAAACATTATATTTTCTTTGCCACAATTAATTGAGTTATTAGAAGCTCTTTTTCCACTAACATATACCTTAAATTCCACTTTTAAATTTTGGATCATGAATGAAAATACAAAGTTGTATCTTACATTTTTTTTTAACCAATAGAACCAGATTTCAACATTTAAGGATATTTGAGTTGCTCAGTTCTATTTTTATGACGTACTCATTACTTACTGATATACTAGTTGTTTATCTGATAAAACACCATGAATTCCGAGGAAGACTTCTGTACAAATCTGAAAAATAAAAAGGCCTTCAGGAATATGGTAGAAAGATGTACTTCTCTTTTTGCTGATGTTGTCTAACAGCATGACTTGTCCTAAAGATGAACATCGTGGGCAGTGCTGGGGTCCTTTATCTTAACAGAGACTTGTCAAAAGTTTAGGAAGCCTATATTTACATAAAAGAGATCATATAAAAGGTACTGAAAATGAATACTATACAGCATTGGCTATGCTAGACTACACCATTTAGGAAACAACCCGTTTTGAAAAACCAAGGTTAGCAGCTCATGCTACTGAGAATCATAGAAGAGGCAGGACCCCAGATTTCTTGTTAAGAACCAGGAGGAACTGAACAGGAACAGGAGCCCTGCTAGCAAGAGAATGAGGTGACAATCTGCTTCCATGAGATTTACTGACGTGCAAACTCTGAGGTCATTCTACTCTGACCTACAGGTACGCTATGAGTGGGACCTGACTCACAGGCCGTGGTTTGGTTTTGGTTTAGGTAAACAAACACACAAAAGGAGAAAGCACTCAAAATGAGGAAGGGCACAAAATATACATTTACAGTTTACCAGTAAAAAAACAAAAACAAGCTAAAAACAACCAGGCCTGGTACAGTTTCACACTATCAAAAAATATTTAAGAAATGGTTAACTGTACAGAAAAAAAAACTCCATTGCCATTAAGTTGATTCTAAGTCACAGCAACCCTGTATAAAGTTTCTGAGCTCTAAATCTTTATAGGAGCAAATGCCTCACCTCTTTCCTGGAGCGGCTGTTAGATTTGAACCACGGACCTTAAGGTTAGTAGTTCAACACTTCCTCGACAATGCCACCAGGACTTCCTAATTGAACAGAAAAAGGGCCAGATAATGAAAAACCAAAAAACCACACCAAAACTCACTACCTTTGGGTCAATTCTGATGCATGCCCTTGTGAATTTCAGAGACTGCAACTCTGTGGGAATAGAAAGCCTTGTCTTTCTCCCTCAGAGCAGCTGATGGTTTCGAACTACTGACCTGGTGGCTAACAGCCTGAAGCGTAACCACTAGGTTACTAGGGCTGTGCAGGGCCTTGGGAAATTCTGGTCAATTTCTATAAGCAACAGAGAAATCTTTTCCAGCCCACTACAAGTCAGAAAATGACGTGATACATACAGGTAATTTTGTGCTTTAGGGAAATTGGTACATGTGAATAATTGGATAGGGAGTGGCAGAAAGCAGGGAGATAAGAAGGACGACTATTCAGCAAGCCACTTCCTGCTCTTAACTTTGCTGCTATTTTGGGATTCAATTTTTTTTAGCCTCAAATGTACTTTTCACCGTCCTTCGACATCTATTCACTAGGCATTATCTCAGGGGCCGAGTCTTGACATGACATCTCCTATTTCTCCCTTTATTCTTGCAGTCTCTTGCCAGCTCCTGCTCGTTTCCCCTCAAAGCAGCTTGTACACACATCACTCCCTTTCCATTCCTACTGTCAGTACCTGAAAGCAGGGGGCCTGGCCCCCTCCATTTCTCTGCCTCCAGCTCCCCGCTTCCTTCATCTCAGACTCAACACTGCTGCCAGCTAAACCTCCAGAATGATTCTGCACATCCTACCCCGTGCTCAGAGATCTCTGAAGGCTTGTTACCATTTGAAAAACGAACACAATAAAAACATACAAAGCAAAACAAACACCTTAAAGGGCTTCAGCAAGCTGCCCGGCAAGACTGTTCACCATCATCATCTCAAGCCCCCGTCAAACCCACCATCTTTCCTACTCCTCTACTGTCAGTCAAGCTCTGACTGACAGATATAACTCAAGTTACATGCACTGTAACATTTCATCATAGCCACGTTGAAAGGCAAAAGAAACTGGTCAAATGTTAACCCACTCAAAAATTCAAAACCAAACTCTCTGCCATTGAGGTGATGCTGATTCATAGCTACCTGATACAGAAAAACTGCTCCTGTGGGTTTCTGAAGCTGTAACTCTTTATAGGAGTAGAAAACCTCACATTGATAGGATCAGCAGGCACTTAGGCTCACGGACTACAACTCTACAGTCATCTACCTAGAGTTGTCCCACGGACCTGTCAGAAATGTCTCCCTCATATTCTGAAAGGGAAACCATTGCTAGCGAGTCAAGGGCAACGCAGAGTGCCCCTATAGGGCAGACTAGAACTGTGCTGCAGGGTTTCCCAGGCTGTAAAGCTTACCACAGCTGGCTGCCACTACCTTCTCCAGAGAAGCAGCTGATGGGTTTATACCACCCACCTTTGGGTTAGCAGTCAAGTGCTTAACCACTGTGCCACCTGGGCTCCTCCTTGGGGGATAACTGGGGCCCGGATTACTTTGCCCGAATGGCAGCGATTCCCTCCACTCGTTTCCCTGCTTCAAAAGGAGCCCCCAAACAACTATGGAGACTGTTCGCACAGATATTTTCATGCCCCCTACTCCCGGCCTCCACAAAAGGGCCACAGAAAATCGAAAATCCTTAGTTGGACACCAAGGTCCTTCACAAGTGATGATCCAGCCTTACTTCACCAACCACTCTTACCCTGAAGGTTCAAGTCCATTTACTGCCATCCTATAAAGTCCCCAAACTCTCAACTCTCTGCAGGGCTGCACTGGTTGCCTCTCCAACATGACCCCCTTGTGTTTAGATTTCCTAGGATCTTTCAGACCCAAAGGAGATAAAAATTCACTTCCCACCCAGGCAAAGCTAGTTACTTTCACTAGCTTTAGCATCAGTGGGTTAAAACACTATTCGCTGAATGAATACACAGAGTGGATGTAGAGAGGAGTTAACTACTGAGCTTGGTATTTCCAAACCAAGCACAGTTCCCAATCGACATACACACGCGTACTGAAACTGAAATCTACACAAGATCCTCCAGAACCCTGGATTCAGCAGGTTCGGCTTCATCTCGACTACCTGCACAGGTCCTTGCGCTCTCAATCACGGACTTGCGGGGTTGCTAATGGCAACTAAGGGGAACGATGCAAAGTCCAAGGGAAAGACGAGCAAAACCAAGACTAGAGTCCTGCTTCGCTCTGAAGCTCATTGGGGCGAGAAGTTTCCGGTAGACTCCGACTCCTATAGACCCTACAGGACAGTGTGGACGCTAAGACTGCCGGGAGTAGAAAGCCCTATCTTTCTCCCGCAGAGTGGCTTCCAACTGCTGACCAATGCATAACGACTAAGCCACCAGGTCTCCCACAAGGGAATCAAAGGGAGAGCCAAATGGCATCGATGAGCAAATGGTGCGTTACGTTTGGCTGAGCCCAGGAGGCTGGACTTGCGGGGTCGCACCTAATCGGCCTCCCCCCATTCTCAAGGCCGAAAGACCCGCAACCACCCCGCACTGCCATCCCGTCCATTCCACCTCCGAAAGACCCTGGGGGTTCCCGAGGCTGTAACTCTGAAACTCCATCCTTCCACGGCGGAGCAGCAGGTGGTTTCGAACCGCCGACGTCCCCAAGGACATTGCTAAAACGATCAAAGTGGAAGCCCACGAGGGCGGGGACGTGGCTGAGCCAGGAGTGGGAGCGCGGGGTGATGGGGCTGGGCTGGGCTAGAAAGCCTG